TCCGGTTGAAGTGGTCGATATTGTACGACCACAATGTATTAAAATCCGTTGGGGACGGCGTCGCTTATTTGTGCACCCTTCTCGCTTGAAGCCATTTGTTGCGCCGCGTCAAACTCACAACACGAGGGCTGAGCGTGTGATGTGTCCGACGAGCTGGATGTCGGTCCGTTGGTGCCTAATCCACACCGCAGACGTGTCATTCCTCCTGCAGATGATGCAGGAATGATGGAGCCGTGCAGGCCACGATCAGCCACTGGGGACCATGGGCCGTCAGGGGTCTCCACGGAGAGGCCTCCTGACCCACCGAACATTCCGTCATGCCGCCTGATCTGCCTGCACCACTGAGGGGCCACCCGTCTCTACGTGGCCCCGCGAAACACACGCGTGCCAAATCCCGCCGGTTTTCATAAATAGCTACGCTACATTGTACGACACGGTCCCGGTTGTGCATCGTTTTTTTGCAGCAAATCGCTGCCTGGGTTGTTGCGTCGCGCATGTCGTTTAATTAATTATTGTTACTCACCTTGTACATATGTTGTGTTATTGAGGGGAGGTATTTATATTGGGTATTTGTTATTGTTCTTGGATCTTGTTCTTGTTCACAAGGCACACACACTTCGTTTTGCATTGTTGGGGTTCCCATTGTTGCAGCCGGGACGGCTGAGGCTTCCGAAGAGGGGGGTGATGTAGAGGTGCTAGACACACTCTATTCGGTAACCTGCGGGGCACTATGTAATCAGAGGGGAATGCAGTGTTACCACTCTGGGACCAACGGCCAGGGTCAGGGAAAGGTGGGAGCGGATCGTAAACACACTTTCCCGCCAGACCAACGGCCAAGGGTCAGTTAGGGTAAAAGAGGATCGAAAACACAGATTCTAGAGAATCAATCAGAGGGTCCCACGAGGGAGCATGGGATTGGATAAGGACTGTTACAAACGGGTATAAAAGGGCGAGCGCGGGGAGCGCCTGCCAGTTCTCCTCAGACGAAGACTCAAGCCAGCTCAAGATGGCTAGGACCCTGGACCAAGCCTTCCAGCTCTTCTAAGAGCTAAGGCTCAGTGTTACCAGTGGTCAAGGGGAGAATAGGTCCTGGCAGGCAGGACCCTGGCTCCCCAGCCTTCCAGCTCTTGTAAAAGCTAAGGCTCGGCGCGACCTGTGGTCAGGGACCCACCAGCCAGCGGTGGGTCAAGCTAGCCTCCCCTAGGTCCTAGCCGGAGGACGCTAGGGTAGCGGGTAGACGGAGAATAGTCCCCGCCAGTTAGAAGGCTGTACCTCCCTAGGCTAGCCATCAGAGCCGTGTATAGGTTCCGCCAGGTACGGAGGCTGTACCTCCTTAGGCTACGGGTGAGGGAACCGCATATCCCTCTGTGTGTGTATAGGGACTGTGTCGGAAGAAAGACAATAAACCAGTGTGTGCCTTAAGAAGTTTATTCATCTGTTATTTACAACACTACACATACATAAGTGGCATGAGATCTGGATTAAGCATATAAACTTGATAACGAAGTGAGGAAGTTTTGTATTTAAGTATTGAACCTAGCATCATTCATAAAACATACATAATACGAATTGTGTAAATTCTCTATGACCAAAATGATATGTATTCCAGGGGTATAACCAGAGCCTACCCGACCGCCTTTGTCTTCCCAGTGACTGTCATTGCATGCTGCAGCATGAATTTGAAGGTTGAGTCTACCTAAAGGGGGGGGGTGGGTAAACAAGGCCGTTTCACAATAAGCATGGCTACAGACACACACCACATCTAGAGGCAATTAAGCGGGTATGTGCTCCCACAAATCTTGGGATGACCTCTGTACGGAGTATGAATTAAAGCGGACTCAATGGATGCACCACGTGTGCAAAGGTGGGAGGAATGTCGGGCCTTGATGTGTCTTAGGTAATTAATCACATAAGCTAGTAAATCCTATATAAACACCACACAAAATCATATAAACCAGTCTTGCAACGGCAAACTCAGGGATCTGGCCCCCGTAATCAGCCATAGTGTTGAGTTCTGCGCTGACAAACTAAGTATCGCTGAAAGTTTTATTCTACGTTTTTCCTTATATTTTAGTCACTTGCAGAGTCAAGGATTTCGCGAAGTTGTACTGTACTGAGCTAAGAGAGTGATAAGCTAAGAGGTGTGCGAAGAAATTTTCATATAATATTGTGAAAAGCTAAGAGGTGCGTGAAGGAATTTTCATATAATGTTCTGCCTCACGGCAGGGGTTTTGCCTCACGGCAGATGGGGGGGGGGGCGTATGTACACAGGAATTTCCTGTTTTTGATGCTAATTTTGGTCACGTGACCAGGAAGTTGCGATTTAAGATTCCCGCTCAACCACGCGGGCGTCGGCCATTACACACATAATTCAAGATGGCGGCACACATCGCGTCCCAGTGAAGCCAGCCGCAATTGTCCATTGTGGGACTTTAAGAAGCATTGTCTGTAAGTTCGTTTATGTTCTTATAATATTGGCAATGCTGTTATAATGTTAGAATGACCGTTATAATGATGTAAATGCCTTTATAATGCTGTTAAATTGTTATGATAAATACGAGGCCTAGTTAACAACGAAGCCTGCAACTTTCCTTATTGTGAATGTTACTTGTAATTTAATAAGTCGAGTCAAACTTGTACCCAAGTAACTATATTGCGATCCTGAGAGCAAGGATGACGAAATATCTCATCCACAATTTAGTGTTATGTGTAATACTGTACATTTGGGGTGCAGTGTGATGAATACACGATGTGCCTTTATGTAACACAGCAGCTTATGCTCTTGTATAGTTATTCAGTGGTAATGTAGGGGCCTGGTCCATCCAGGGTCTATTGTTGAGAAACATGTTATCTAAGACAATGTTCTGATGCTGTGGTGTTCATTCATTGTGTTGGTGTTTCCGGGTTTAACAGATGCTGTATCTGTGCTGTTTTCTCACCAGTTTTACCTCGTTAAACTCAATAAATGACGTTTGGCGTCGGACGTTCATCCTGGTTCCGAGGGTTTATTGGACGCGAGGTTAACTACTCAGCTAGCGGTGCAACGCAGCGCACAGCGAGGCCGAGACATATAACATTGTGATAAGCTAAGACGCGTGAAAAATTAAGGGAGATTTGAGTTATACACCAATATCGAGTTCATGAAATAGTCCAAGCTATAGGCTGGAAAAGTGCGGTGGGTCAAGTGACTGATGTTTTATGAATTATGGGAGAGGCCGGGAGTGAGTGAGCGAAACAGCAGACCTCCCTGGGGGGAGTGGGGAGCACCAAGGGTGCTCGTGAACCAAACAGCTCGACTGGCAGGCAGCGTGCTGAGCAGCAAGAGCAGCGAGCAAGAGCAGCCAACTGCAGATGAAGCCTGCCGTGCCTGCGAGCGTGCAGCGCAGTAGCTGATGGGCTGACCACAAGAGTGCTGACTCGAGAGTCTCGAGCACACTCCAGCTGTGGATCGAGCATGATGCACAGACATCACCGCGAAGGAGCAGCGAGCAGCGTGGCCACGAGTGCACTTGCAGTTGTGGACCAAGCCTGCCGTTCTACACATCGTTGTGGGCTTGAGGTATTGTCCGGGAAGAAAGAAGACGGAGGAGGAACATTGACTTTAGATTCACTCACGATGTTTAACTGTACTTTGTACAGGTTGTGGGCCAAGAAGAATCCCATCACACACCATAACAAAGGAATTGTGTATTGTCGCGTTATTTTTAATCACGTGATCGTGAGATCCAATCGTTGACGCTCTCTAACTATTTTATATGCATGTTATGAGCACGCATTCTGTACCAAATTTCTATTTTGAGGTGCCTATTCTATTTTAATCACGTGATCGTGAGATTTAACCATTGATGCTTTATGATCATCCAGTACGATTGATGAGTACGTACATTTGCATGGACACTGTTGGTATTCCATAAGAGTTTTTGGATGTTAGGGTAAGTTGATATTAAAGTTGCTTCGATTAAAAACTCGTCCATCATTGTCGTAATGACAAACTGTATCTGCGGTGAGATCTGAATCCCGAGACCTGACATAATTACACACAATTGTTCAAGCAAGAATCGGTAAATGTTCAAGTGAGTATCATTGATATCATGACGATTAGTGATACCCCCTAGACAACGAGACAATCAATAATAATCGCACCACATAATCACACACATGCATTTTAATCATTCATTATTTTTTAACACATTAGTAATTACACTTAACACACATCTTTGTTTACACTTACACTTAATTATATTAACATTCACAATTTTACATATATTTTCACAATAATTGTATTACTTTATTAATGCTACTTTTTTTAGCACCATATATACAACGGTTACATACGTGCAAAATAAGTTCGACATACGTAAACTCAGGTCTACTTTGAAAAAAAAAACTTCTATTGTCGATGGGCTCTTAACATTAATAATTCAAACTCTACGTACAATCTACTGTGGATAAAGTCTTCCAGAGGAGGCTGAGGACAGATATCATTTACCACTGACGTGAGGCATGGCCGGATTCAAGCACAGTGTTGCTAATCACCGTGCCACCGCTCCACCCGATTGGGTTATTTTGCCTGGTTGTGAATAAAAGTCACCTACCTACCTACTTTCGGATGCATATTCCATATAATTGCCATATAAATCCTACATAGGACTAAGCTCGTCAAATGATCAGCTATCATTGGTTCATTATATCTCACTTGGTCACTGCTTGTATATACGACGACAACAACAACAACATCTTTCCGATGAACCAAGCCTGCCCTCGACCTCAAAGCTGTGCCAGTTCACGATTGTCAAGGCGGCGGCAGTAGAAGCACGCGACACCGGGGAGACTGCACGAAGGCGAGCAGTGGTGGCTGTGAAACTGGTGTCGCCTCTTTCTTTCGCGAGGGGTCGTGACCTCTCCGTGGTGGCCAAGTTTATAATTTTCGAGTGAAGCAGACTCCTGCCCGTTCTCCTCCTTCCTCTCCTCCCCATTACTGTATTCTCCATCATCCTTGATCAGTGCTTCACCACGATTGCTTGCATCTGGAAGCTGGCCTCTGCCGGCGTGCCGATAGCCAGCTCGAATGGGTCTATGGCGGTCACACCAGCGCACTCGTCTGACTGCTCATCCTCATTTCCCTGTGGTGACGATGGCAGTGATCGGGAGGTGGAGCCCTCCATGGGTGAGGAAGATCTGTCTGTTACGCTGTGCCACACACCACTCTCTGGTGTCGGGCCCTGTAGCAGGCCTAATGCAGCCTGCGACACGAGGCTCCAGTCCTGCAGCAGGTCCGCCTCGGTGGTGAACTGGGACGTGATGGTGAAGCGGATGATGAACTTGTCTCCAGCCATGGCTGGCACCACGAATAGCTGCCCCGATGCGTTGAGTTGCACCAGGAGCTCATTTGTCAGCTCGTTAGGGCCCTGTTGAGAAGAGGTAGACACACCGCACAACACGCACGTAAACCATCACACGCCATTACATGCCATCACCTACCATCTCACAGAGAGCATTTGTTACACACACCAACCATACGGTCTGTTTTACACACCATCAAGCCACCATCGCACACATCCCATCGGACACACCATAACATACGCGCACATCACACATGCCCATCCCAGCTCACCCGAAGACGGAAACCACAAGTCCTAGGTGCCTCTTTACTGGAACTCAAAGCGTGGATCTTCACGCACGAGGTTCTCAAAAAATCTTGCGAGTTGAACTCCCTGTGAGCAGAGGACCATGGCGGTCAGCACTGTCACAAGCTTGAACATCATCATAGGGCATTATTGTCTTCATCATTGTATAACTTCACTGGATCAAATTTACGCAACCCTAAAACTTAAGAGGCAGAAGTCCCCAAAAGGTAGGAGTGACCTCACCTGCGCACATGCTCCTGCAGTCCACCGACGCCGAACGATCGAAGGACGAACCAGATCTTGAGTGCACGGAAGCGACAGCTCAGTGGGATCTGCCAGCGCTGTGGTGCAAACAAACATGAATTATATTAATACATATTGGTGGTTTAAACGATGTATCAATTAACATCGATTCTTTAACTCAGGAATACATGTATAAATCACGTGTGTAATAATCGCTGTGTTTGTATTTGTCATCGTATGCAATGGGTTCACGTGACTCTTCTAGCTGCTAAATTTACCCGTGTGAAATAAATAAGTAACATCTTTAGCGATTAAATGCCTAATCGACTTGTTAGTAGAAAGGCCACATCTGCTGATATTTGATTGGAACAAACTGCCAATTTCGATTTAAAGCTTTCGTGACTGCAGGGATTCATCTTCTTGGTTCTTTCGGTAAAGTCACGTAGAAGGGAAGTAATAAAATAATAAAAATAAAACATAATAAAATAATTCTCACGACGTTTCGGCCACAACGCAAGCAGCCGTCCTCAGGTGAAGAACAGGTCTGTCAGAAGAACAGCGCTGTCTTTCTGACAGACCTGTTCTTCACCTGAGACGGCTGCTTGCGTTGTGGCCGAAACGTCGTGAGAATTATTTTATTATGTTTTATTTTTATTATTTTATTACTTCCCTTCTACGTGACTTTACCGAAAGAACCAAGAAGATGAAACTGCCAAATTGGTGGTGTTTTATATTGGTGTGGTTATTTATCTTTCAAAAAAACACTAAGGTAAATTGGCTTCTGCTAGCACGTGTCAGAAAGCCATTTTTGTTTTGCATCCCATGAATCGGAGATACTGCATATTGAGAGTCAGAAGAGTGGGGGACACACACCATGAGATCTGTGACCGAGTTGGAGTGCGCATGCTGGAGGTACAGAGGCTCCACGCTGAACGTCTTCTGCAGGCTAAACTTGTCCGCCACCCTGCCATCCACCACCATCATCATCATCCTTCATTGATCTTCATCATCATTTGCAATTGCCATAACGTTCACACTTTTCATCTCGCTTAATCATCAACATTACTGTTATAAAATCCTCATTTTCCTAATTTATTATCATTCATACTTTATAATGACATTACTTATCTATTCATCTCTCATCACATATTCGCTTAATTTTCACCATCATATAACATTATGGTCATCATCTCATTACATAAGTACCATCACCAATGAGCACAGAAATAGTCTTTCTAAATATGCAATGTGCAACATGATCTTAGTTGTGCCTTATTGGTTGTGAGCTTCCTCATTCTGTAATAATTGTTTTATGTAGTATATCACAGTTGTTTAAATAGTAACATGACAACTTCATCCAGGAAAGTTCTGTTTTTATGTGTATCCGATTTCTTAAGCGTTTTTGTGCGTGTGGGAGGGACTGGAAAATGCACACATTTAATTGGAAGAGCAAAGTGAACACGGATCTCAATGGTAATGGTTGCTGCCTCATCGAGCACCAACTCATGTGCTCAGTGGGCAAGCATTAACTTCACAGCGCGAAATTAACATTTTGTGAGTCACTGGTAGACAGTAGGTGGCACGTGACTAATATCTGCAGCGTTAGACATATGCTGGGTGTGGTGTGTCGGTGTTGAAATCTGTGTTTTTTGTTCGTTGAGCCTGACAGACTCAGGTGAAATTATACCCGAATTAAAATGGTGCCACCACCACCACCCTACCACTTATAGAGTGATAGCCCCCGTCAGCAGGAGATGCAGTGGTTCGCCTGAAGGGCAATCACACAAGTGGAATGGGAAGCACTGAGGGCAGAGTGAGTGAGACTGCCTCACCAGAAGACGGCGCTGTCCAGTTGACCATCATCCACTTGGATGGGTTGACCACGAACGAGTCGGCGAACTCGACCCACGCGCAGGGGTCACGCAGCTCGGGGCACAGGAAGGCAGTGCCCGCGTACGCCGCGTCCACGTGCAGCCACAGCCCTTCCTGGCGGCCTGCCACATCATAATCATGGAAAGCCGCACGTTCTTCAGGCCGGGTGTGCACATCGCAGCAGAACTTCTGGATGCCAATAACCACCAATTGTGTGTAGAGCTGGGATACAGGAGAATCATTTAAAGACACGTTTTTCTTGCTTTATACAGGTTTGGTTTGTGCACGACTAACCTATTTCTACCCAAATTCGCGATATGCGGTTTGAATTAACTCATATGCTGATATGCAGTTGGATGTGGGACAATATTGTGTGTGTACAATTCATATTTTTGAAACACCCTGTACTGTATGTGCGACTTGGCAGGCAGTTGTCTCCTCAGGTTGGATGAATGTGCGGTCCGTGCTACGTGGTTTGTTTTGTGCACCCTTTTTTTGGAACGCATCTACTACCGCATGAAGTGAGGGAAACCTGCAATCCACAAGTCTTGGTTTGGTGGCACGGTATGGTCCAGAATGAGCCGGGGAGAGATGGGGGCGTGGTATGGCACAATTCAACTCTGGGGCTGGATCTGTGTGTCCTGATATAGGTGGGGTAGGTTGGCTACCTCCTCTTGGTGCCGGACGCAACGTTGTGGTGGGCAGTGCCGTGGGGGAGGGCCAATTTAGATTGGCCATTCCCCTCATGGCGTTTGTAACCACCACAGCGGCCAAATGGGGCTCTGGACGGGTGCGAGGGGCTGGTAACCCCTCCACCTTCAATTAATTACCACAAACACGATGAAAAATATTAATAAGCTTGTGCCGGAGGCCCCGGGGGACAGGCGTCTATGACGTCTCCTGGCCAAACCCCATTTGGCGGAGCCAGGAGACTGAATCCTTACCCTCGGGGCTCCTCCAGAAACAACAAAAACCACTCGGATGGCCACGTGGAATGTTCGAACGCTCACTGCGGAGGAGAGGCTGCCACTCCTCTGTCGGGAGCTGGACCGGTACCGCCTGGATCTCTGTGGTATTCAGGAGGTCCGGTGGACCGGCTCTGGCTCCTGCCACCATGAGGGGTGGACAGTCCTCTACTCGGGGCAGGAGACTGCCAAACAACAGGGAGTGGCTCTTCTTCTGAACAAAAGAATGAAGGGGGTGGGAGCGTGGCGGTGAGGTGTGGGAAGCTGTAAGCCCCAGGCTACTTTGGGCTCGCCTTCCCATCAACCAGAGGCGAGGAGTGGTGGTCGTGGTTACTTATGCCCCCACCGAAGACGAACATCCGTGGAGGGATGCAGGCAAGGCCGATGAGTCAGATGCCTTCTATGACCTCCTGTCACAGGTGCTGGCTAAAGTGGCCCTCGGGATAGAGTCATCTTGTTGGGTGACTTCAATGCCCGAGTTGGTCATGATGCTGGCACCTGGTCTGGAGTGATTGGAAGGCATGGGCCAGATCAGCTCAATAACAACGGTAGGAGGCTGCTAGATTTTTGTGCAGCCCATGGGCTTGTAATTACCAACACGCTGTTCCGGCATCGGCGCATCCACACAACATCATGGATGCATGCCGGGTCCAAGCAAGAACATCTGCTGGACTACATAGTGACGGAACAGCGGATGCGGGCCCATGTCCTTGACACCAGGACCTACCGTGGAGCTGATCTGCCCACTGACCATCGACTTGTCATCTGTAAGATGCGCCTGCCATTCTTCCACTCCGGTGGTGGGTGTACACCCAGGACCCCATTCAAACCAAGTGGCCTGGTCTCAGCTAGCTGATGAAAGTTGCAAGCGAGAATTTCATCATCGCTTGCAGCTGGGGTTGGCATCGTCCCCCACTCCTGATGTCGAGGGAAATGGGCGAGGTTTAGGACTGTGGCTCATGCAGCTGCAATGGCTGCTTTGGGTACACGGTCCAGACCTCCCCAGAGACCCTGGCTGACAGAGGAGGTGTTCAGGCTGGCTGAGAAAAAGCGACAGGCCCACTCTCATCGCTACAGCATCCCACGTCAGAGAATGAGGAGGCTTACCGCAGCCTTCGCTCGGAGGTTCGGAGAGCCGTGAGGCGCTGCAAGGATGGGTGGTGGTCGCGGGTTGCTGAGGAGATGGAGTCTGCCTCAGTGGCCCGCGATCACAAATCACTCTTTAACTCCATCAAAAAGTAACCTGCAGCGCCACACCTATTACCATCATTAGGGGAAAGAACGGTGATCCAATCTCCGACCCCCAGGAACAGGTTTGCAGATTTGCTGAGCATTTCTGTGAGGTCCTGGGGAGGGAAATCCCTCAGCCTGGAAAACATCATGGGACAAAGTGGGGATGACCCTGCTGAGGCTGCGGTGCCTCAAATATTGGAAGAAGTCACCCCCTGTGAGTGGCTGGCTGAGGTGCCATCTGTTGAGGAAGTACTGAAGGCGATCCAGAGTCTGAGACCAGGAAAGGCACCGGGCAGAGATGATCTCCCAAGCGAAATGCTGAGGGAGGGTGGCGTTTGTGCACAGACTGCCCTACATGACATCATAACAACAGTCTGGACCACTGGACGGGTTCCGCAGGATTGGAAGGATGCCCTGGTGGTCCCCCTCTTTAAGAAGGGGGACCGCACAGACTGTAACAACTACAGGGGCATCTCACTCCTCAGTGTGCCGGGAAAGGTCCTGGCAAGGATTATTCAACATCGCCTTGCTAGGCACGCTGAGGAGAGGCTTGCGGAGCCCAATGCGGTTTCAGGAAAGGGCGGTCCTGCACAGATGCCATATTTTCTGTCCGTCTGCTACAGCAGAGGTGTAGGGAATTCCAACAAGACCTACATCTCTGCTTTATTGACCTGGTCAAGGCCTATGATACCATCAGTAGGCCTGGGCTCTGGGTTGTTCTTCGTGCTTTCGGAGTCCCTGACCTCTGCTCACGATCATTAAGGACCTTCATGATGGTGAGCGGGCCCGGGTAAAACTACGTGGCCGGGAGTCGGAGCCATTCCCTGTACACCTTGGGGTGCGACAGGGATGTCCTCTGGCTCCCACATTATTTAACATCTATTTTGACCACGTAGTTCGTGAAGCCTTCAATAGCTGTACCGGAGAATTTCCATCTGGTACAGATACAATGGGAGGCTGATCGATGCCCGGGTGCGGTCAAGGGATGGCTCCTATTGCTCAACCATGTTATGTATGCCGATGATCTGGTAATTGCTGCTCACTCAGAGGAGGAGTTGGAGGCGCTGCTGCTGAACCTGGAGCTTGCCACTAAGAGGTGGGGCCTTACCATCAGCCCACCAAAACTAAGCACCTGCCTGGGTATTTGTACCATCGGACACTCCACCCCCACAACTCCCAATTGGTGATGGGGCAGTTGTGGAGAGAGTGGAGAGTTTCCCATACCTGGGCAGTGTGCTCATGACCGGCTCCGGTTTGACAGCAGAGGTCTCACTCCGAATCAGTCGAGCGGCATTATCTTTTCATCGGTTGGTAACGCTGTGTGGAAGCTACTGCCTATGATCTATCCTGGGTTTAACCAGGCTGGATTGTGTGAGGAGCTCACAAATCCTTGAAAGATCTGGACAAAGTCCCATCGGTGAGCTCCTCCGGCAGGCAAGGCTGCGTTGGCTGGGTCATGTAGTCCGCATGCCCAGACACCACATGCCTAAACAGCTTTTGTTTGGCCGGATCGAAGGGCTAATGGGCGCGGTACGGGCTGGAGAAGGATGGAGTGATGTGGTACAGGAGGATGTGGAGCTGAGTGGACTTGCCGATGACTGGTACCAGTGGTGTCAAGATCGGCCTCTGTGGAGGAGGCTCGTGAAGGACGCTACTGGGCAGTTGGAGGTAGTCGCCCTCCAACAACAACGGAGGGCGGAGGAGCGACGCTCACAACAACGAGTGGAGCGCCGGGTGGCTAAAGCACAGCAAGTTGGCACAGTAGGGGCACTAGTGGTACATCAGCCAGTCATCTCAGTCAGTCGTCCCTGGCATCTAGGTCTGCCCCGTGCCAGCGGGCGTTCGACACTTCACGTGGCCTCAACGTGCACATAGCCTGGCACAAGCATCGTGGTGACATCACCGCCACTTAGTGGCGAATCGCGGTTGTTGTTGTTGGGTAGGATGGGAAGTACAATTATGAGTTCCCCTAGTAAATGCCCATATCCGGCACTGCCTGTAACTGCTTCCTTTAATCACACGAAATCAAATGGCAGATATTCAAAACATTCCACAATACAACCCACCTCTGAGCTGTACATAAATGGCCCCTAACCTGCCAGCTGGACACGCACATTAATGTGTAGTGGTTCAGATGTGAATATTTTTTCTTTATTTAAAGACGTATCTTTTATATATCTCTCTTTTTTAAACTGAACTTACAAATTGGACCCAGCTCGGCCAGGTTGTCGAAGGCGCACAAGCCCGTGGTGCCGAGGGTTACAGACACCTGAGAAGACAACAACACCAAGCTAGGTTTATTGTGGCACAGGTAAACCCCATTGGGCATTCAATGCTCATGTCCGATGGGACACGGTTAGACTATAAAAACCTGGTTACAGCAAAAACAACAACAAAACATTTCAAAAAACAGCTGTGCATGGTCAAGTTTCAAACGACCATGTCACGGGGCATGGTGTTGCAAGCACCATGCCTTTCCACCTCTGTCGCCCCATTGCCAATGTGATAATTCAAGACGATGAACAGAAACAGCCACTCGAGATACACTGATTCCTGAATGTAGTAGTGTATCGTGGTTGGCATGAGTCCTAGTACAAGGAATTAAATAGGGCTCCCTGTCCAATGTACATTCCTATTCGTAACTCAGTGCCTCAGCCCTTCTGGCCCAGGGGTCCCGATGCAGTTGCACCACCTGCACGTTCGATAGCTAGGCCACTGTCTGAATGGTCATCTGAGGATAAAGACAAGATTGTAGTCACACACACAGGCGTGGAAACAATCATCCAGCAGGAGTGACAGCTGCTGTCCATTCAAACATTTTGGAGGGTGGTGAGGTGCAAGCTAAACGTTGGGCTTTCTTTATGAACCATCTTGGCAACATAACATAGGCTCCCTATGGCTATATATGTATGTATGTTAAACGTAGTTTGCACCATACGTAGCCAACAGTGCTAATCGGAGGTGCCTCCTCGACTTCAAAATCAGTCGCACGTGCAGTTGTCACGATACAGGTAGATCAGGTGTGCCCGGTCAGCGTGTAATTGTCTTTGAAGACATGGTCTCGAAGTAGCGACTCACGAAGAACGGGACGAGACCCTGTGCTCGGTCCTCCTCCACGGCGCGTTGGAGCGTCTCCCCGCGCAGCGAGAACTCCAAGTCCGTGGGCAGCGAGCGCAGCCTCACCAGCGACACGAGGCTCGCCTTCAGCACCGACGAATGAGCCTGGCGGATGCGTGATTAAGCACAAGATACGTTCATACATATGCAATTTGTGTATTTTATGTTGACTTAAGTTTTTCAATTTAATCCGCGTGTGTGCAGGAGATAAACGACTTTTTACATCGCAGGAACATGATAATGGCGATGGCTTGGGAAGGCTTCATCCAGTAGTAGATAAATTATGGCTGGTGAAGATAAGTTTGTAATGGAATTAATGTAATTAATTTGTTATCTGTAATGAATACAAGTGAAATTCGACTAATTATATTATGAATCTTCATTAAATCAACGTGTCTGGCTGACCCACCAAAAAAATGTATTCATCATTCAAAATATTAATTTAAGGTTTATTATTTACAAAAAAATATATTATTCAGCATGTCTGGCCATATAGCTTTCCAGGAAGAAAACATACCAACAGTAGTTTTCCTCTTGATAACGACTGCAATGTTGATCTGTGAGCACACCATCTGATATTCACAACCATAGCACCCCTGGGTGATACTGGTCCTCTAGGGGGGTGCTCCAAGAAGACTCGGTGCGTGTTAGAGGGCGAGTTACTATCCAGGCGGAGGCGCGCACCTGGTCGGAGGTGTACGCCACGAGGCGTGCGTTGAGGAGCGCGTCCTGTCCCACGTCCACGCGCGCGTCCCCGCGCAGGCGGGCAAGAGCGCGCGTCCGTGCTGCCAGCAGCGCCAGCAGGTTGGATTCGCTCACCGTGGTCTGTGGGACGCAGAGTAAAAGATGCCGTTAGCGAGCACCTATGAAGGCCGTCACAGTACACGATGGGATGGGTGGCCACCTTTGTATCCCGAGTGGCGATGATTGCACACTGCACCGGATACTAATTTGAGGCTGAGTCGACCTTGCGGACGCCCAGGACCCGTTCAGATAATCGTCACTGTGGTACCCGTGAAGCGAGACTAGGTCGCCTGGTTCGTAGGGCAGTGTGATAACCGCTGCACTACCGCTCGGACTGTGGGCGCACACACACTCTGCAGCCTCACAGAAGACTACAGGTAATTAACCTAACGTAGTACAAGAGAGAGTGTTGCAAGTATTTCACAAGTGTAATCAAAGCCCCTAAAATGTCCTTTATTTTGTCAGATCTCAGATGCTAAGCACGGCTGACCCTGGTTAGTGCTTGCATGGGAGACTGCCTGGTAAATCCAGGTCTTCTAAGCTTGGACTGTGAGGTGGCAGGGAAATGGCAAAAAACTATTCATTTGTGAATCTACTTGTGCGGAGCATGAGTGGCACTTTTTTATGCACCCACTCCGGTTTTCTCCTACAAGCCAAACATGAAAGGAATTGACCAAGCATTTAGAATGCAAGACCCTCCTTAGAAAAAGTCTTCATACTCAGTGAGGCTTTTATGGCTTAATAAAACCTGCTGTTATGAAACACAGTCTTTACCCAGCAGAGTACAAAGGGGTGGTGGGGGGTGACATTGCAAGTACCATGCCTTTCCGACTTTGTCGCCTTATTTCCGATGTTTACCATTAAATGCCATTGACTAGTTTTAGGCTGAGTTGCAAAAGCTGTTAGTGAATAACAGCTCACAAAAAACGATTTAGACAAGAAGATCGTATGTGTGGTGGTTTAGTCAGCATTAAGGGGTGGCTGATGTTTGTGTGCTTCACCAAGTACCCATATTATTTTGCGCTGTTTTAAATACCGTAAGGACAAGTCCAGGTTCTGATACCAGCTGTGACTCGTGGCGTGAGAGGCAAAGAATTCAGATTAAAAGTGAGACATTATTTAAAATTAGAAACTGTTCTGCAATACGCTTGTGTTAAACAACCCTTCTCTTATATGATCTAGACATGCCCACTCATTATTGAAACGTCCTTATTGACCCATCCAGTATTTTAAAAAAAGTTGTAAATTAAAAATCTTTATGATTACGGTGATGATGAATATCATGGTGGTGTGGTGGACGATGGCGATGTAGATGAAGCACCTGCATGACTCCGCCACCGCGTCCCTCTGGGTGGTCGTGCCGGAAGGTGTCGGGTAGGGACAGCATGGTCGCCAGCCAGTCCGTCATCACCAATTCCAGCTCCGTGCTAGCCGGCTTGACGCCTGGTTCGGGTCACGCATCCCCAACACCAGCCATGAGATATCGTACATGTGAGCTAATGTCATCGCTCCATCTCAACAGTGGACACACACGTGCCACTGTTTGGGCGAACTGGCGTGGTCAGAACCACACATGCCCGTTCACCTACATGATTTCCCTGTTACTGGTGTTGACCACATCAGGTACTTATTTTAGTTAAACAAGTTAAACCAGGTGAGGCACAGTCTTGAGTTTAACATCAAAATGCTATTTGTGTGCATCATCACACACATGCAAGACAAAGACAACGATCTCCTGTATAGCCTGAACAGGCTGCAGGAGTAAGTACTGTTAGCGAACACCTATGAAGGCCGGCACGGCATACGAAGGGGGTGGGTAGGCAACACCACTACACTACCGCTCGCCACCCCACATACTCATCCACACACACTGCAAACATGCACGCCGCACGCACGCACTGCTCTGGCAGACACACACAGGATCATCTCGTTTGACCATATAGAATGATGGGGAAAGTGCAGTAGGTACGCACCTATTAAGACCGGCATTCACATAAGGAGCTGTGTTGCATGTATACATTTTCACACTGGGAACGTCAGCCCAGGTACAGGTCCTCATCATCACTGGGCTTGTAAACCATAGCCATTAATTGAAAACGGTTAATCAGGGATTGGTTTTCCCTGGTCTTATCAGCAAGGCGTGGTCTTATAAAACAGCGCCACTCGGTAGTGCTATACCGTGACGTTCCAGATAGAAGCAAACGGCAGCGTTGCAGAAACCACAAGAATATTGGCACGTACCCATGTGAAGCCGATGGAGTTGATCGCATTGGCGAGCATGTCTCCAAGAGCGAGGGGTACGAGTTGAGTGCCGGGTAGTACCCGTGCATGTGTGGGCTCTGCCAGTGCACGATCTGTGGGCACAGCACATCAGTGGGAGTAGTGAAGTCAACAACGTGGGAGTGATCTTATGAGTCTATCCATAAGACCACCACTGTTAACTTCCTCAAAGAGTTATATTTATGTTATCGACCCTGGAGGGATGGTGAACTGAGTCAATCCCCCCAACCAGGATTTGAACTTGACACCTTCCAATTGTGATCTATTCGCGTTACGGCACAAGCTTTGTATATGCAATTCACTACAATGGAATAATATTTAGATTTATATAACGTTTCACGGTGCTTCATAGAAAAAAAACTGAATATGTGCATCACATGGGAAAAATGTGTTTGTGGTACTTTAGGGAAGTTCTATTATAATCGAACTACATGCACAGCTACGTAAGGTGACAAAGTTACAAAGGGGTTTAAATAAAGATTAAACATAAACATCGACAGGTTGGCGCCGAAATATTTTGATTTGTTTCTATTTACATTCCCTGCATTCAAATACAAACCACTCAAAACCCTCCCAATGCAGGACCCTTCTGATGGTGAGAGTGTAGGGCGTAGATTTTGGAGCATGGTACAGTACAACAATATAAGTGTGTGCATTTCCCTTCCCACGTTGTACCGACGAGCGAAATACCTGAGCTGAGCCATGGCCTGACCCGATACTGAATCTTTGACCCCCCCCCCCAAAGCTATTCAATTGTGAGCGCTCTCAATTCTAATATTTCCCTCTATTCCTACGCCTGTCTTATCCGTGTTTGTGTGGCTGGCCATGTTACCCCAGGCATGATGAGCCGCTCCACGTCCTCAAAGATTCTCTCCCAGGGCTCTCCTTGCTGCGGGGGGCCGGCGGGCAGCAGGGGACGCAAGTAGCCGGGCCGCACGGATGGGTTCACGGACCGCTCACGTACTCCAAGCAGGTACGCGGTGATGTAGTCCACCAGCTCCTTACCTGCGCGGCACCGTCAGTGACAGGTGGGATAAAGAGTGGGTGGTTCCAACTATGATCAAACCACCCTTTCCCGTATCTCCGATTAGCACGTTTGGCTACATATGGAGCGAAATAAATTCAACATACACATACATACCCTCAATGTGCTCAACCTCATCAATTATGGGAAACCAAGCAGGTGACCAGGAGATCACCTGCCTGTTCCACTAGGCGATGGCCACCTCACAGCAATTAATTCTTGAATCTTCTGTGCAGCCTTGAGCGTTACCCCCTCGTATGTGTGGATTTTTTCCAGGGACTACACTTTTTTTCTCCAAATGACAACGCTCAGTTAATGAATTTGGCCAAACATCCCAATGCGTGGCCAAACTGAAAAACTGAGTATTGAGAAAAAATGAACCTACCTTAATAAAGAGCATTGTTATCATTATATTATGCGCCCCCACTCCGGGCAAAAAATAAAAAAAAATTTCCCAAACAATGTCATTTGTAATCATCTATTAAAACGTCATCAGCACTAATAACACACGTGTATTAACAGCTTCAGCATTCACAACATATTATTAATCAGCATTATCCAGCAAGTGCAGTGAAATGGTAAGCAGTCTGCCGTGTGATAAAACCCACCCCTTCTCATGTCGCCACGAGGCAATCTCATGTGTCTGCTCGTTAGAAACAAGTTTATTTTGTTTGTGAGTATTTGATATTTGATGTTCCTTTATTATTGTTGCTGAAGCAATAATACACTACCACGTTTGTTCACGTGACGTGATGTATTTGTCTGTGTCGGTTGGAGAGTGCACGACACACATTGTGGCACTTTACTCAAGTGATCCGACCCTAAAATAAAATTATGAATGACAGACATTGAAGTCAGTTGCCTATTCCGTGTACCTGAAATAAGTGACTGAAACCGTACGATTGTTAAGGGGCCGTCCATAAATGACGTCAGCAACCTGGGGGGGGGGTCAGACATTTGTGACGATGTGTAACGAGGGGGGAGGGTGAGAGATGTGACGTCACATAAAAATGCGCAACTTTAAATATAGACAACACGTTCTACTTAATTAAAGACTTTTTAATAAATGTTTTCTCCTACAACATCAGAGTGCTGCGCCACATTAAATACGCACTACAATGACAATAGTTTAAAGTGATTTGAAGCATGTTTTATTTTCAAAATGGAAATATGGTTTTGGGGGGGCAGAGCTTTGTGACGTCATATTTGAGGGGGGGGGTCTGACTTTTTGTGACGCCGTGTGACGAGGGGGGGGGGGTCAAAAATCGTCCAAAATCGCGTGAAGTCATTTATGGACGGCCCCTAAGACGATGTTTGTTCACTTGTTTTCGTAAACAGCGAGAGTGAGATGACAAATTGGGCACCTCGGATTAGCACGTTTGGCTACATATGGTGCTAAAGAAGTTCTACATACAAAGAGCATCAGAATCAAGGCCCATCCAGGAAGGTGGCGATGCAGCTTCCGGCCCAAAGGAGGCAGCAAGGCCACGCGTCAGCTTCCACGTCCAGGTCGTACAGTATGAAGACCGCATCTATGAGTGTAAATTATCTGTGCTTCCTGTGTTTTGCTAAAGCGCCTGTTAATCTGGAAACGTCCCTGCAACCATTGAGAGAACTGGTGAAGTGTTGCGGAGAACACATTCCTGCGGAGGGAGCTGGTAGGAACGTTGGGTTGCTCGGTCAATTTCCAGGGTCAACGGCGGCGTGGTGTATTCCGCAAATATGCCCGACTGTGAGGGCGGGCACAAGCCGGCGTGAGTAGGTTAAACGTTGAGTTTTATAAGGGCACCACGGAGTGACCTCTGGGTTTCCTGTCGCAGGTAAGATAATGTGTGTGGGTGGATTTTCAATTAACAATTGGACCACAGAGGCAGCGTCTGGTGACAATGCTGCACCAGTCCTCGCCTCCCACCAGACCGGTTCTCCTGGGAAGCTGCGTGGTGGGCTGTCCATGCGGCCCGCCTGCTAAAGAACGCGCTGATGGTGAATTTTGAGCCCTTTGTCTGCGATTTCTAGTTTCTCAATGAATTCACCTGCGTGCGTTGTGACCTCAGAAAGAAAAAGCCGCGTTGGACGTCGTTGCGTCCTCAACCTCGAAGCCACGAACTGCCCAACGAGGGTGCTCTACACGCGCGCGTAAAGCGCATTGCTGACTTAAGAAGGTGTCTTCATCCAGCAGTGGATTGGCAAAGGGCTGGACGTTATTATTGACTACAAAAAAAATAACAACACAACGTCGTTGACTCTACTATGGTATCAGGGACTACTTCGGTTGTCTTTAAAACATAGGTGGATTGGCAATGGGCTGGACGTTATTATTGACTACAAAAAAACAACACAACGTTGTTGACTCTACTATGGTATCAGGGACTACTTCGGTTGTCTTTAAAACATAGGTGTTAATAATCATATGCCCAACGCGCTAACGCCAACACAACAGCAGTAAATGACGATGATGATGCATACAGCAGATAGAGACGAGTCGGTTGCACGAGGTGATGCAAGGTGAGTGGAACGTTGGGTGAAGCGTTGCGACGGTGAAACGAGGCAAACTCTGGTTGAACTTTTGGGATGTATCGATCCCCCGCAAGCCCACGAATTAATGGAGTAAATGTTAAACATTTGGGCAGGTTAAACAAAAACCCTTTTGCCCGTTGAAGTTTATATTAACTGTTTCGCTGATCATCCTTTAAAATAAAGAGCCAGCGTCAATGAGGGTTTCACCTGTATTAACCAACAACATTTAAAATATATAATTATACCCCCCTCTATTTCCTCGTATTTACGGGAGGGCCCTGCTGCATTGGGGATATTTGCCTAAATCCGTTTGGCTTCTTTTGGGAGATAGCCAGAGTGGCTCAGGGAAAACCCCTGCACGCATATGATTAGTTAACGATCAAAGCTCCGCAAGAGATGGATTAGAGAAGCGACTGTTGCCTTTCCGCTACTTTGGTTACCACGAATTCTCGAACTCTACAACACGTGGTATATCCTTGGGCAGTCTCCCATTCAAGAACTAATCAGGATTCACCCGACTTGGCATTCGACATGTAAGGAAATTGTGCGCTTTCAGAGTGGCAGTATTCTACCCGATGCCTAAATATATTTACAATGCTTTCATTTTATCTGATTTTTCCCTTGGACATTCTATGCCTCATTCCTCCGCTCTCCAATACATTTGAAAAATACACTTTTAGCCAAATTACAGTATCTGGGTGTGTGTCCAACATCTTCCATTGTACAGCGTATAGCGAATGTGTTTGCATTTAGACTTTGGCATTACAAATCTACATTGTGCTAGCAATTGTATTATGGAGTGACTCATGCTGCCAGCTATGGCTGCAAAGTTTGGTCGTACATGTTATGGATATCGTTTATTGTTAAATTTGAATCACAGTTCCTATGATCACTTACATTGTTTTTATAGCTTTATTTTGGTGATTTCGAAAAGTTTTGGTTTAGCCATATTTTTTTGTTGTAGTACAGAGTTAGACTGATTTAATCTAAATTGTCTTATGGTTGTTATTCTTTGACTTGTATCCCACTGAGATTTTTGCACACAGCGTTGATGTACGGTGCTTTTTCTGGAAGACTTTGCGGTTTTTTCCTGAATTTTTCTGTTGCGCGTAGTCACTTTAAGATGTTTCTTGTTCATGTTTTTGTTTGTTGCGGTTGCACCCGATTCAAGAGCCGCATGGCTCATAGGGCTATACCTAATACATTAAATGAAATGTATTGAGAATGCTGAAATGTCCACAATGTGCAGGGAAAGAGCACCAAAACAATACGAAAAAAACTATAACATCAACTAATTATTTCTAATAATTAAACACTTTCCTACAAAGTGGATCGTGGCTTAAGCGTTAGCTTACCGTCAGTGTGTGCATATACTCATGAATCACCCGCAAACGACATTTGTTTGATACACTTTATTTTACACTGCAATATTTTCAATTCATAGCGCATCTTAGAGCGACTGCATGGATATCATGACGCTGTACAAGCTACGGGGCGATGCGCATGAATATGTCAAGAAAAAAACGCCTAAAATGTTTAACATTCGTTACAAAGTTTTATTTTTATTCTCAACGTGACTCCAGCTGTCAGGATTCATTTGAGCCAGTGTTTTACCACCACTGCCAAGGCAGCCCCTCGTATGTATATTGAACTTATTTCGCACCGTACGTAGCCAACCGTGCAAATCGGAGGTGAGGGGGAATATCAACACATTATCTCAGCAAGCAGTTCTCAAGAGGTGAGTCTTCAATTGAATTGTATCTGAAGCTACCAACCACATATTGAGCAATTACCAATTCCACATGCAATTAGTTAGCACTCACCTCGAGTCTGGTAATCGGTGGCGTCCATGGCTCTTCTGGCGTTGCGTGTGACCACTCAGATGAATGAGCAAATTGCCCGCTGAGTCGCAGTTCGACTGACTGGGTCGCAGCTACACCGTCCGCAGGACTCACTCTCTGGTTAACTATTGACTGGATGGCTGGGTGAATGCCTCTAATGGAATGAGTGGCTATCGGTTGTCGAGTGACTAGATTTACAAACGAGCACGTTTTGTATGGACCGGGTTGGTCTCTAAGATTCTCGACAGTGTGCACAACCGCCCTTTTATTGCGACTGAAGAGACGCAGCGAATGATCTAGAGACATGCATCCTTAACCAAACCCTCCTTGCGAGAGAAGGCACGTGGCTCAAGATAGGGGCACTCTGTGTACACACCCACCAACCTTTACTCATCGGTTTTTACAATGATATTTGGCGCATTAACAATAATCTGTGCACGTTGGCATCGTTAGCTTACACTTGCATTGTGCGTTCACTGGTTCATGAGCCTGCGCAGCATATGGTGAGAGGTCTCGGGACTGCAACACATCGTTGTAGCTGACAATGCACCATGGTTCATTGATGTGATGAGCTATTTGTCGTACACAGTTCACCCAACCATTATGTGAAGGTGCAACTACTTGTTGTCGCAGTTCAAGATAAAGAGAACAAATGAAGATGAGAACAGTTGAACAGCAAGTCTCAAAATCGTCAAAAGTAATGCTGGAGTCATCCGCAACGCATTCAATATCGTTCGTGACTGTTTGAAGTTTGGCTCATATTGGGTTGTGATGCCAAAAGTGTCAGCAGTTTGGGAATGTTTGTTGGGCTCCTCACTTTGTTCAGCTCCTGCACATCACAATCAAGCTCAAAATCAATATTTCTCAATGTATCACAGAGTATATCAGCTGCGGATGTTGCAGCATCAAGTTAGCCAGCATCCCAGGGCTGAGCTTAGATGAGAATGTTAAGTGGTGCAGTTTGATGAGCAAACCAATGTTCTCTTTTCACCATGCTCTTTCAGCAAAAAACATTTGATTACACCGCTGTCATTGACAACGGTGTAAATCAAACGTGTTTATAAAATCTCGTATCACACACTATCTTTATTAAAAGTTCGTCCCGATAATTTTTTATCAAGTGTTTGATGCTAAAATAATCACTTCTCAATTCAAAATAAATAATACCTGATAAGCTAGAGCAGTCCGTGATATCCGGGATTGACATACTTGATGTCCATCTTCTTAAACATAAATGAAATGCTGGTAGCTTAAAATAAATGTAAAATGTGAACTCTAAAACCCAAATACCTGGGGATTTACACCAAAACCAGCCCCCTAGGTAGTCTAGAAGGCAAGATATGGTAACCTATAGAAATTATATCTGCCATTTTGAAGAATTATGTTCAGAAAAAAAACCACTGATCTTTTATTGAAGTCAGCCCAAGTTATTTTACTTGTGAATAGGTAGGGGAGTTCATAAACTGGCTTCAGGTTTTAAGATTTAAAAGTATATGGCATGGCGGATATTGCATGGGGCCTGGACAGAATGCCGCGTGTTATATCCTACCCGAACAAATTTCCTTGTCTGCATGTCTATAATAGCTTATACATTAACAAGAACACGAGATGAATAATTCAATTATTCTTTGGTAACTTGAAAGCAAGGATGTCCACCGAGGAGATGGGAGTGGTGAAATTAGCGCGTGCAGGTAATAGATGAATTGTTACATTGCGAGACCGTGAAGGACTGCATGGAATGATTTTTAGCTACATCCTCCACTTTGGCCGAACGAATATACAAGGTCGCACTCATTGCACATAAATTGCTTGCCACGAATGAACCACAATACCTTTCTGATCTCAGGGAGCGTAAACCATCATGCAAACTCCAGTTTCGCAGCGGTTTTTGGCTGGCCATCGAACAAAGACGTTCGCTACATACGGACTTTCAGATGCGCTTAGTGACCGTCTGGAAAGCTCTTCCTTCCGATAATAGGAAGCTACTGGAGCGATGCACTTTTAAATTTAGATTGAAAATTAATTTCTTTAGAACGGCTTTTAGTTTGTCCTTCCCCGCAACTCTGATTAGCACGTTCGACTGCATTCGGTGTAAAATAAGTTCAACATTCAAACTTCAAATACACCTTGGACAGTGGTGATCTGGACTCAAGAAAGGTGCATAATTATTTATTAGATATGTAGTTTGCCAGAGGTCCAGAGCACTCGCAAAGCACATGTCATTTTGGTCACACTTGTAGCCACCAGAAACGACCCACAAGCGCTGTTTCACATTAAACACGTTATATGGTGATTCTGCATTGGCAGTGGTGCATAAGCACAAATAGCTCTTACTGCTAGACACCACTTTCCAGACAAGATCAGTCCAAGTCCAATAACACATTCCTGCGGAGGGAGCTGGTAGGAACGTTGGGTTGCTCGGTCAATGGGCAGGGTCAACGGCGGCGTGGTGTATTCCGCAAATATGCCCGACTGAGGGCGGGCACAAGCCGGCCTGAGTAGGTTAAACGTTAAGTTTTATAAGGGCACCATGGGGTGACCAGCCCCTCCCCACTCATCCCACCCCCCACCAGCCCCTCCCCACCATGTCGACTAACCCTTAAAATTTATACAAATTCTGAAGGCTAATAAATGAGGTTGAGCATATTAGTTGATCATTTATTAATTCCTACAGCTAAGAGCCTAAATTATGTTCATCCAAAATGAATAAGCACTTTACACTTAAAAGCAAATTGTCTTTTTAAACTGTTCCCATTGTAGAAGCCTGATTACAAAACGGTCTAGAAACAACATTTGGATTTAGCACATCATAATTATCCAGACTTGTTACCAACCTTTTGTCAGTAAATACATCTACCAGTAATATTTTCTGAATAGCTGACTAGTCCATTAAAGCAGGTACATAAACAGACACGCAGACTGGCATATGAAAGAGGTGCATGACCTTTGTTACGAAATTTTATTTGTGAAATTGCTGGAAAGCGTATTATACAATGTACAAAACACTGCCCAATAGTCAACAGCGATGACCTCGTGAGCTCACAGGGAATTGCCCCGACCAGTTCATGCCTTCACACCGTCATCAGCATCTGCCAAGTGCCCACCAAGGTTGACACAATTCACTGACATGGGAAGCCGGTTTGAGGTGGGGCTGCAATTACAGAACATTGGACATCGCTGTCATATATACAAATGCTTGTCTATCTGCTCCAGAATGAGAAAGAGACAAGTTGGCATAAGGAGTGGCACAAGTCAATGTATTGTGCTTTGAGGATTTGCAGTTGCAGGTTATCTATGTGTGAAGCATCTATCATGAGGAATTGTTAGTTGTCACAATGACTTACGCATTTTTTTCCCATTGGTAATCTCAGTTTTATTACAGGTAGGAACAACAGTTCCACACTGCCCACCAAGGATTATTTGTCTGTCGTGCATAGCCCCTCCCAAACATGTACGCTCCCGGATTGGTTGAAGTGCGTCACGTGACCACGAGCTCTGTCGAGCACAAATGCGCTGTCCAACCAAGTTCCTACCTGCCCACTCCGAAGGAACGTGTTATGCTGTATTTATCTGTTTAAGAGTGCCGAGTTTATTATACATTCCGGATGTAATATAGTCACATTTATTTTCTCGGTGTAAAATGTGTTAATCTGTAAGACAAATTTCAAAAATTAAAAATGGTCATTGATTCTCATCTCCTAACCCAACCTACTTAACCACAAAAGCACCAGAACATGTAGAGGCAATCCAAATAACCTATATGCTAGTCCTGCGCTGTACAACACGAGTTTGAAACTTTGCTTATGAGAAGGGACTGAGAAGTGACTTTCAGGTACGTTGCCCAGGTAATCTAGTAATGCCACTTCCAAAAATGTGAATGCCACTGCAGTGACTACATTAGGATGCAACAGCTGTGCTTCAATCCAGTCGAAAGGTTTTTTTTTCAACCTCAAATCGGCATCCTGGACAGACAGCCTAGAAGTTACAAGAGTTATTGGTGTTTTGGGTAGCCTTATTTCGTGTGTAAAGTGGTTCTAACATGAATACAGAAGAGACTCAAGGCTTGTGAAACCTTTAAACCACTATTGGAAAACTGATTTTCAAGCGTTTGGCGGGATAAGCATGGCAGTAGACTTTTGAATGTCAGTGAAAGCTTGCATCCAATTGGCATTTAGTTTCTAGCAGGCATGTAATGATGGATACATTCTAATATATACTTATGCTCATCATACATGCATCAAATTGGGCACTTGCCCAGTTGGTTAGCTGCGATTTATAAAATTACTATGCATATGATATGCTGTTACATTTAGTCCAAGAGAATAAAACTATACGACAATAAAAGAATACAAATAATACAAAACAGGATCAATTCTAATTGTATGGATAGGCTGTATTTCAAATTACAACATGATGCATCCTCTTTAACACCACTCCTCGCTACAGTTAATATGCAGTTTCAATGTGACTTACAGCCTCGCCTTTCTCATGCCCTCGTAATTCCTTTTCAAAGTTGAGAGGGAGGTGTATGGCGTCACGTGAGACATTACAAACATGTCTGCAAGAAATGTAGTATTCCACTTTCCAGCAGATTGTACATGCTTGAACATTTTACAGATGTATACATTTCGAACCTTTAAGGGCCGTTGAAAGACATTTCAGATTGAAATAGTTTGCATATATAACCAACCCTTGATTTACCAAACCTGTGGTTCAACAGCCATTCATTTTATCTATGTATTTCTTAAATGTTCTCAAGCATGTGATGGATGCATCCTGAATTAACAGCAACATTACTTGTAAAAAAAAAACTGTTTATATATGATAACTCAAGGTACATGCCAAAAAATCCTAATCGCAACTAGTGACCTAAAGTTAACATATCAGCTTATTTTGGGAGTGGGGTAGGGAGAGGTGTCATTTGATTATGTAACAAGCACCACAATATGCTGCTCAATTGACAAATACAAATTTTGGTCCAAACTATACATGGACGACCAAATTAGAAAA